GAAGATTGCTCCATAATTTAGAACTTACATTAGTTATTTTTAGAATTTGAAATAAGATAATAAGTATGTATTAAACTTGAAAATTTTATGAGCTATATTTCGTAATAATTTATGGGGATTTTCATACCTATATTTTGTAGTAATATATATTTTCTTAATTTGAAGATTTTCTTAGCTATTTTTTAGAATACTTGATTTTAGGGATCACTGTCTTTAATATTATGTTTCCTAAAATTATGGATTTTTTATAATTACCTTAACTATCCTTATTCTTGTTTATTGTTATAACTAAATGCATATGCTCTACACCTTTTCAATTGTGAAATACAGGAAATCTTTGATAGATGATTTGATCTACATTTTAGGAAATACTAGATTCGGACTCGCACGTACGTGCAAGATTGATTTCAAAAACTAAGTTTGCTATTATGTTTGCAACATATTACGTACATGTGGTGTTATGTTTATAAATGTAATTATATTAGGAATATTATTCAAATTCATAATCTGAATTCGTACCAGTTCAATATATATTTTTTATTAATTCAGTTTAGACAAAAAAAAAAGATATAGGATTTGGTTTTGTTATCAACTACATTAATTAAAAAAGTAAAAAAATGTGGTTTGTTTATTTTGGGACAGGAACCCGTCTCGTTCTTTCCTATATATGTCATGTTTTTCCATCTTATAACCATAGTTTTAATAATAATTTATCCATTTGAGATGGTGAATTTTAGTCTAACAAATGAAAATAGGTCAATGATTGAGATTTATTTGTAGATATATGTATTTCCTATAACATTTGTAACATAAACATAAATTGGTCTGTTTTTATTAAGTTTATGAATGTTTAAAATAATAATCGCTTCACAATAAACTTTGGATCGACATGATAGCGAATCCAGATTGAATGTGAACCAGATTAGTAATCAGCTTAATTTCCGTTAAACCCGTGAACTATCAAACCGGATGAAAACAAAGAAAAAAACTTCTCTTCCTGGATAACCTAAATATATTTGTCAAGCGGGTCAAGACTGTCTGTTATGCATGCTTCGCAACAGATTGAAATAATTTTAACCTGTAAAAGATCCATTATGCATAATCCATATTGTTTCTTTTTTTAAGGGATTCTTTAATATATTTATTTTCTGTTAAAATTATTTATTTTGCTGTCATTAATTCTGTTTGGTTATAGGTTTAGGATTACATAAAATGTAATTTTTCTTTTTAATTTGCGTTTGACTTTGAACATAAATAATGCTCCCCTATTAATAGTATAGATATAAAAGATCAAATTCGTTTTCTAAAATATATGATAAATTTTTTATTAGATTTTATAAACATAAATTATTGTTTTTGAAAATATCACAAAATATATAATTTTGATTAAATTTAATTTCGAATTTAATTGTCTATTTTTATGGTAACCAAATCAATATTATTTCCATAAATATAGGTAGTTATTATTATTTTTTAATTATCCTTTAAATAGTATAGATAATAATTGTTTTGCTTTACTCTTTTTAATTGTATACACTATGCTCACTTTATACAAAATGCTTCCCTTTTAATAGTATAGATATAATTTAACAAATATACGCAAAATTAGGATTTGCGAATATTTAAATATATATTGTTTATTGAAAATATTTTTCTGTATCTACTATCCGGATTTAATGTAAATTGTTTCTTATAGAAATATTTTAAACAATAAAAAATACTTTTGAAATATTTATGGATATCACATCAATAATTTATTTTAAACATAGTAGTTGTATTCGTATGATAACAGATCACATATATGATAGTTAGCCGCATAAAATAATTATAGTTATTATTTCATTTCCATCCATAAGATTTGATGATTTTAATTTGGTAATATGTAAGAGTAGTTATGCACGCAACTACAATTTAGGAAAAAACATTTTATTGATTAAATTATCTAATTTTCTAAATAATATACTAATTAAATATTTGTAATTTAATTTTGCTATTAGCAGAAGTTATTATCTAATATAAAAATTAGGATTTTTGGAATTTATTAGCATCTATATTTAAGAATTAAAATTTTTAATGGTTTAAATAATTTAATTATCCAATCACCTAAAATTACGTTCTGATATATTTTAAATTTTTATCATAATTTATTAGTATTTAGCCATCTATATTTTAGGAACAAACATTTAATGGGTTTAGATATTTTGTTATAACTAAATTGATATGTTTTACTTTTTTTAATTGTATACACTATGCTCAACTTATACAAAATGCTTCCTTTTTAATAGTATAGATAGATCACATATATGATAGTTAGCCGCATAAAATAATTATAGTTATTATTTCATTTCCATCCATAAGATTTGATGATTTTAATTTTGTAATATGTAAGAGTAGTTATGCACGCAACTACAATTTAGGAAAAAACATTTTATTGATAAAATTATCTAATTTCCTAAATAATATACTAATTAAATATTTGTAATTTAATTTTGCTATTAGCAGAAGTTATAATCTAATATAAAAATTAGGATTTTCGGAATTTATTAGCATCTATATTTTAGAATTAAAATTTTTAATGGTTTAAATAATTTAATTATCCAATCACCTAAAATTACGTTCTGATATATTTTAAATTTTTATCATAATTTATTAGTATTTAGCCATTTATATTTTAGGAACAAACATTTAATGGGTTTAGATATTTTGTTATAACTAAATTGATATGTTTTACTTTTTTTAATTGTATACACTATGCTCAACTTATACAAAATGCTTCCTTTTTAATAGTATAGATAGATAGATTGTTTTCGTTAAAAGAAATAATTTTGTAGCTAATTTGTTTATTTAGTTTCTTTTGAAAGAAAAACACGACAAAACATAAAGGTTCTAGAAGTTAAAGGCATCATGTTTGAAAGATGAGAGACGACCAAAGTCATTAATAACAATAATATCAAAATCCATTGACCCACACCAACTTCTTATAGCATTTTTTCTTTTCTTTTATGAAATATCGTTTAAAATATTTACTCTGTTCATATTTATTTTTTAGATGCACATAACAGAATCATTTAATCAACCGTTGATAATAACAGAGTTAACAATTAAATTAGTGTATCTATTTAAAAATTGAACTAATGAAACCAGTTTAGATTTTGGTTAGATTGGTTTAATGATTAAACATGAAATATATATTATGTGACCGAGATAAGTTAACGATTTAATTATCCGTTAATAAATTTTGTAAAATTCTTTGTACCGTTGTTAAAACGACATAGTGATTATTTGATAAAATTAGAAAGAGGGTATTTTTAAAAAATGGTATTGGAAAAGGGGTATTTTTGAAATTCCCCCTACTTTTTTTGGTGTACCTCTTTTCAAAAATATTTCTTTTGTCTATCCATTTTCAAAAATACTTCTGTTTATATATGAAAAGTTATAAAATTTTATATGGTTTATAAGGTATTTCTAGATAATATTTACTACTGGGAGGTTCGATTCAAATAATTTATAACGTTTTAAAAGGTTTTAAATCGTTTTTACAAGATTTACAAGGTTTTTTAAAAAAAATTATAAGGTTTTAAAAAGGTTTTTATAAGATATTTATGAAACATATATAAATTTTATTCAAAAATAATAATAATTTATGTGTATATTTATAAGGTTACACACATATTTGGATTATTTTCAATACTTTTAGTGGATTTTTTGAAAAAGTTTAAAATAAAACACATGGTTATGTGTGAGTCAACAATGATAATCATTCAAACATATATTAACATTCGAAGGTTTAGCAATTTAGCGGAAGAATTAGCGATTTGTAGAAGTTTAATTTACGTGTGCATCTAGTAATTATTGGAACGTACATAATTCTGGTAACATTTTAACAAATTCTTAAAAATATCATTTACAATGAGTTTTTGTTCCAAACAAATTATCTATATATATTTTTAAGTACCACTAAAAAATATTTTTTTTCCAAATTACCACAAACAAAAAAAAATTCTAAAACAAAACTCTAAATTATATATCATAAACTTAAAACTATACTCTAAATTATAAATCATAAAACTAAACCTTAAACTTAAAATAGTAAACAAAAATCCAAAATTTCAATTATAAATTCTTAAAAATCATTATAATGTATGTGGTATTATTAGAATAAAATGTTCATAGTGTTATTTTTGGACTAAACATTTTGTAGTGATATTTTAGGATGTTACTATAAGTTTTTTCCATGAAGGATATATTTTGTTATTTAATAGCTTATTTATCAAAAATATACAAAATTTTAAAGAAAAAAAAAACATACAACATATTTTCTTTTCGAAAGTAACTTCTGTTGGTAATTGTTTTTCCTTTATTTTGACTTTTTTTAATATCAAATTTACTAGATTTATATAATATAATGATCATAATGTATTGAATTATTCTCCTATCATTGATTTTTGTCTTGTTACTAGCCGCACTATATATTCTTAAGGACATCATTAATGGTGGTATCTTAGAAGTAAGATTTACACTAGAGATTTAAGATACTCTCTATTGTAAATCTTGCTTCTAAGATACTATCATTAATGATAGTCTAAGAATCTTGTTGCCATCAGATTAGAGAATGGTTAGAGCAGCATCTTCAAAGGTGAACCCTTCTAGTGGGTTTTTAGAAGTTTTTATTTTTATATTTTGATTAATTGAAAGTTTAGAATTTTTTTAAAATCCTTAATTCTATCCTCTTCCAATGGTAAAACTTAAGTGTTACTACCAATTCATTTGAAATAAAAACTCAAAAAGAAAAACACATGGACCAACTCCAGTTAGCATCCTCCATGTAGCACTAACAACCAACTCTTAAAAAAACTCACCGAATAGATCCGAAATAAATTTCGGTTCGGGTCGGTTCGGTAGTCGGTTTATTCGGATCGGTTATTGACTAAAATTTATATTCCGAAATTGAACTGAATATTATTTTTCTTCGGTTTGTTCGGTTTTTATTTCGGTTTAGATACTAGAGAAAAAAAAACTTACACAATATAATGAAAATCATATCCAATAAAGGTCCAATATACAATTAACAAAAATCCAACACAAAATTAATAGTCTAGCCCAGTAACATATTAGGGTTTTGGTACAGATCTATAGAGCGGCTGCGCATGAAACTCCGGCTGTGACGTGCAGTGACGGCGACGACGTTGTGAGGTAGTGTTTAAGGAAGATGATGAGTTTCTCTCACTTTCACTAAAACAAGAAAAAAAACAACAAAATCAGTAGAAATAATAACGAAATTTAAGATCTAGAACGTAAAAGAAATGGGATTACACAACAAGAGAAAGAACACTATAATCAAATCCAAATACAAACCTTATATCAGTGTTTCAGTAATTTCATCAAAGGCGGATTGGATTGAGGGAGATTCTCGGTCCTAACTGTCATTGTTGAGTATGGTTAGCTTCCTCTGATTTGAAAGAAACAAAAAAAAAAAAGAATATGAGGACAAAGCCGAGAATGAAGAAGAGGTAGAAGTAGAAGAGTTTTGAAAAGAAGAAAGAAGAAGAAGAAGAAGAAGAAGAAGAAGATCACAAAGGAGAAGAGAGTGGAAGAAGCGTAAAAGGAGAGGAGGCGAGATTTGGTGGTTATGAATTAGATCTAGGGTTTTAAGTTTTTATAGTATGTCCCTTAAACCGAGTAAACCGATCGGTAATCGGATACCGAACCGAACAAACCGAATTCCGAAAGCATAAAATAATTTCGCCGATCGGTTCACTGCTTCTCTCCCAATCTCTGCCGAAAACCGAATGTTTCGGTTTAATCGGGTCGGTTTAATCGGTTCCTACCGAACGCCCAAGACTACTTAAAACCCTTAATTAAGGATCCATCCTTAACTAAATACACAATTGTAGTTTATTTTTGAACAAATTAAAGCTATGAATCCCTATATGAACTTTTTTGGAAATGGTCTTACATAGTAAATGTAGTTTATTAAGAAATTAGTAAATGGTTAATTGTGAATTACCACATTTCTGTATATACATAAGAATATAGAAAATAGCATAGGAGTAGACAGACATAAAAAGTTTCGTCCTCTACTAATAAAGTAACAACTATCTTCATAGCCACCTTACTTTATCATCGGGTTCTATTTTATAAATAGGGACAAGGAAAACAAAACCATTGATTTCTGCTATGTGCTCAATTATAATTTATGGAGTATCTTCATTTTTTTTTTCTCTTTTTTTTTTGCGACTTTATTTTTCTCTTTTTTTGGTATATTATATGAGACCTTAAAAGCCCACTTTCCTAGAGGACGGCATCAAAGCTATAGTTAATGGTGAAACACCTCGTATGTTTATTTCCAGAATCTATATAATTTTATGTCATAAAAGTGTTAATTAAAAATACTTACAATAGTATACAAGCTAAATCATACTGATGAAAAGAGCAAAAAAGAACTTTTGGGTATATCTCCACTAGCTCTTGTAATCGTAAAGCATTTTTGTAAAATGATAGTGAAAAGATTCATACCAAGAGGTAGCTGTTGATTGATAGTTCGTCACAAGGGGGAATATCAAATTTAAGTCAAAGGTCGAACAAGAAAGCTCGTCTTATTGATCAGAGATCGACAAATACAAAGTACAAAAGGGGAAATGAAAACAGGTCGTCACTACAAGACTACGAACCGAGCTCTCTGCTGTACTCTCTGTCCTTTCAAATGTACGTTATGTCTTGTCACATCAAATTTTTTTTTCTTTTACAAACAAGTAATGTGACAAGACACCGCCTTAGGTTAGACTCTTGCGGGCCGGTCGTCGCTTATCGTTTTGTGGAGAGTGGTGCCACGTTATCCCTCTTTAGTCGGGCCAAGCGTATATAAGTTGTAGGGATTCGTGGATCGAGGTCCATATCCAACACTAGCTAATCTTACTTATAGAATGATAGTGAAAAGATTTAGGCACACAATCTGTAAAAGGAGTACAAGAAGCATTATCCGACCAACCTACTATATATACCAAAAGGAAAACTTTTGGTGGCATGTGATGGAAGCCTAGGACATCAAACGTACATGTTCAAAGTAGGAACTTATAGTATATATGTACAGATTAAATAAAACCTTGGAGTGGGCGACACCTTGACGTTTAATGTATATTTCTGACTTAACATTTAAAAGATATATATATACAAAAAAAAGATTGATATGTTTGAGGTTTAAGAGCAAGGGCAACGGCGTACCTACGGCCGTCTTACACCCAAAAAAAGAAAAGAAAAAATGAAAAAAAAAACAAAACAGAAGGACGTACGCATTTGTGCGACGGTCCCGTTTGTTATTGCCTTTTTTCGCAGACTCTACTGACACGTGGCGGCCCGCGATTGATTTCCTTCTTTTTTTTTTTTTTAAAAAGCTAAAAGTAAAAAAAAAAAAAATTCTGATGTATGACGTAAAACCGATGCCCTTGCTCGAAGTTGTGGATGAAACATTTTCATTATCCGAATTAAGATACTTCTATAAAGAGTATCAAAACTAGTTCATATAAATGCTTGGCGTTTGGGGCTCGAGGCATATGATACTTATGTTTAACTAGTATACATAGCAGTCCGCTCAGGGGTTTTCTTGCCCTGATTTGTTTTTTTTTTTGGTTTTGAAGTGAGTGCCACTAAATTGTTTGCTACGGAGTTTTGGTTATATATTTTTTATTCGAAATGAGCATGGTTGGGGACCAACCTAACTCAATTACTCTTAGGATCATGTATAGTTCAGTTGTTCCTCTTGTAAATATTGAAGCCCTATGACCAATCATACGTTTTCCTTACGTCATCCATGGTTTCTGGAGGATATAACCCATTTTCTCATTATTTTAAAACCAGAAGCCAAAGGAGAAAAGGTCAGAGAAGTCAGAACCCAAGCTAAAGAAGAGCAGGTACGTTCTTTAGCGATCGGACCGCCTATATGTCCTAATCTAAAATGGCGGATAGTTGTCCAAAAGATAATAGTTATGTCCTAATCCTAATCAATGATGTTCCTTCGTAAGAAACAAATTAAAACTTAAACTATTTCGTCTGGGATAGTTGTCGTTAGATGACTGATTTACTTTTATATTTATATAAAACCGAAACAATGTATCAAAATATATACATCTCACATATGGAATTATAAGCGAACCCATATTTAATAAAAATTTCTTCCGCTATTACACTAGGATAGATATAGATTTGAATACACATTATAATCCAAATTATAGAAGGAACATATTTACATGCATGGTTTCATAAACATGCGATCCAAAATGAATTGTAGATTGACTTTTTGTATGATTGCCAAATAAAGAGTTAAACAACAACCTAAGTAAAACCATCCACGTTCTTCTTATAGAACTATCAAAATTTCACACGGGGTTTTTTTTTTTGTTTTGTTTTGTGTTTCTTTGCCATTCACACGGGGTTGGTGTATAAAATGACTCGGTGTTGAAATGTATAAAAAACCAAAAGATGAAATAATGAAAAAAACAAAGTCAAAATAATTGGTCAGTAAAGGATTTTGACCAGACCGGTGCGGTCCATCCATAGTTTCCCACTACCTTCCCTGATTTAGCACAAATGAATGGCAATTTGCATGCCATTTATTTCATCTAACTCCTTTTTACTCTATAAATATATTTTACACAAAAATCAATTTCTTCCATACACAAAAATCAATTTCTTCTATACGCATAAAATCAAATAACCTTTCGAGAGCGTAAATTTTTCTCTATCGACTAAGATAGTAACCTTACGGGTGTTTATTTGCATAGATCTCAGCGCTTTTCTTGGCCATATCAAGAAGTGTGAGATCTTTTTGGTTTGTTAGATTTGATGAAAATGAGACGAGGCAATTCAAGTTCAGACCATGAACTTGGGATTCTAAGAGGAGCTAACTCGGACAACAACTCCGATACTGAAACCATGCCTGCCGACCGCGGGGCCTTCAGCGGTCCGCTTGGCCGGCCTAAACGTGCGTCCAAGAAAAACGCGAGATTTGCGGCGGATCTTCCTAAGAGAAGCAACAGTCTTACCGGCGGCCGCGGTGACGACGATGAGTACGTCGAGATCACGTTGGATATTAGAGACGACTCGGTGGCCGTACACAGCGTCCAACAAGCAGCTGGAGGAGGAGGCCACCTGGAGGATCCGGAGCTAGCCCTTCTGACCAAGAAGACGCTTGAGAGCAGCCTAAACAACACAACCTCCTTATCCTTCTTCCGTAGCACCTCCTCACGCATCAAGAACGCTTCCCGGGAGCTCCGCCGCGTGTTCTCTAGACGCCCTTCACCGGCCGTGAGACGGTTTGACCGGACGAGCTCTGCGGCCATACACGCACTCAAAGGTCTCAAGTTCATAGCCACAAAAACCGCAGCGTGGCCAGCCGTCGACCAACGTTTCGATAAGCTCTCCGCTGACTCAAACGGCCTTTTACTCTCGTCCAAGTTTTGGGAATGCTTAGGTAATCAAATTAATTCTTGCTTAACTAATTATATTATACTAGTATATGTTTCCATATTTGTTAGTTTCATTATTTTATTTTTAACTCTAGGAATGAACAAAGAATCTAAAGACTTCGCCGACCAGCTCTTTAGAGCACTAGCTCGCCGTAACAACATCACCGGCGACGCAATCACAAAGGAACAGCTTAGGCTATTTTGGGAGCAGATCTCGGATGAAAGCTTCGATGCAAAACTCCAAGTCTTCTTTGACATGTAAAGCTTTTTTTACTTATCTTCACCTAACACAAAATAAATATCTAACACGTAACAACACTATTTTTTGTCATTTAATATTTGACTCTTAATGAAAATTAAACGGTCATCAGAATTTAAAGACCAAAATAATAATAATAATAATTAATCATTTGGTGGATTTGTAACTAATTAAATGACATCACTATATGGTCATCAGGGTGGACAAAGATGAAGATGGAAGAGTAACAGAAGAAGAAGTGGCTGAGGTGAGAAACCCACACACATTTCAATAATTATCCTTTCACATACTTTATTATTATATATTCTTGGTTGATATTTTTTCTCATATTTTACTTTTATACTTTGACAAAAAAAATTTTTTTTTATAGTTTTAGATATATATCTATAATATTCTTTGTTGATAATCTTGACAAATTTGTCCACGCGCAAATCCCCACTGACTTTATCTGATGACGTTTACTGTTAACATCAGCAATATATAAATTAACTGCATGTGAACACGACAATAATGGTGTTTACTAGTATATGGATAGAGAGTAGTCTTTATTATTTTAGCTTATTAGGTTATTAAAGTTTTCAAATTTGTTGATGATTAATGTTATTTGCAGATTATTAGTCTTAGTGCTTCAGCAAACAAGCTCTCTAATATTCAAAAGCAAGCCAAAGAATATGCAGCGTTGATAATGGAAGAGTTGGACCAAGACAATGCTGGGTTTATTATGGTACGTGTGGTCCACCGTCACCAACTCTATAACACTAGTGTTATATTACTATATAAATGTCGTCAATATACTAGGAAAAAACATG